ACGAGGGCTATCTGCGCTAGCCGTCCCTAATTTAACAGTGAAAGACCAGAGGGAAGGCAACTAGTCGTCACCCATCACCGCCAGCTCTTGGGCTACTCTTTTTAACAACGAATAATGGGATTGACTGTCACAAAATAAAGCCCCCACGCCTGAAAGGGCGAGCATGTTTTGTCGGACGGGGATTCAAACCTGCGACCTTCAGATTGCGAGTCAAGTGTCCTAACCACCAGGCCTTTCCGGGCTTCGCTAAAGACGCAACAAACAACTTTTGTGTGCTGTAGAGGTATTAAAATCGTTTTAGAAAGGACTGTTTTTAAATTGAGAATGTATTACAGCTGAAATTCTGTTGCTTGTTATTGTACTTATTAGATCTACATAATAATAAATCATAAAATTAAGTGAATAATTTCTGGTCAAATTTGGAGAGTTATTTTCACACTTAAACAAGTCTCAACATCTAGAACTTTCAAATAAAAGCACACTTAAAACAGTTTTCTGCTTTAATTAATAAAAATAATGCAATAAAGAAAATAAGTTGAATACAAATGTCTGGTAATAGCACTTATATAAAGTGCTTCCAGAAGTATTTAAAATTTATTTACTTATTTGCTGGGACATGAAATACTCTATAGTCCCGGGTTATTTTATGCTAAGGAGTTCACTGATACTAATACACTGTGCTTTAATTTGATAATATGACAGGATATTATTTAAATATTTTTAATTAATTTATTCTTACCGTTCTGTCTCCAAGATTTTTTACAACACAGTGAAGATAAACAGTTTGTCCTAATTGAGCTGTCACGTTTTTTGGGGTTCCCTTTTCATAAAAGTGAGGACGATAAGCTTCATTTACAGTTGTCAGTGGTTCCCCAGAAGTGGTCATTCTCCTCCATCTGTCAGTCTGTAACTGCCAGACTAAACTGTCTTCTGTTGTTTGTTCTGTTCGGAAGAAAATAGGCCAATCTGAGTTCATTCGAAGATTTATAGTACTTAAGTAGACCATTGCTCAACAATGAAATTTAATGCTTTGTGCAAAGCATGGCTAAGCTACTATCAAAACAATATAAAACACACATAATGTGTTTATATACTCTGCTATCTGATTTTATCTTATTTAATAACTAACTTACTCGAAACGTATGGTATTAATCATTAATGCAAAAACCTAACCTTTTTCACTTCAAAATATAACAGAGGTTCTTATACTGGGTTCGAAAAAATAAACACGCCTGGATGTATTTGTTTTGTCAGCGTATTTAAGAAAGGAATACAATGGATTAGTAAGATTAAATTTTGAACAGGTTAAGAGAATTATTAACTACTTTGAATTAATCACTCGAGTAAATAATGAATATTTAGCATATTGATATCTTCTATCATCAAGCATTTATTTAGCTTAATAGCTATACCGACAAATATATTCTATAGAAACATTTTTATTTCATATATTTATAAAATAACATACTAAACATCAATAAATCCAATATTTATGTATTTTTTAAATAATCTCATGTAAAACTAGCAATTCTAATTACACTATTAATAAATATATCTTTCTCACTTCCTTGTAAAATCTATATAAACACTTGAACAGTGTGAAAATCATCAATAAAATAAGTTAGGAGGTCAAAGTTAATTGTACTAGGTTCTCTTTATGTTTAGGTCAAATTATGTCTGTGATAGATAAAACTGAGCTTATACAAACTTCAAGACTGATAAAGTAATTTTGAACTTTTGATGCTGAAAATAACTTAATATGGCTAAATTATGTCCTTCCAAAAATTTAACAAATCTAAGAAAATTATTAATTTTGGAGAAGGTCTAAATAACAGTTATTTACAAATTAAGCACTTCTCGTTAAAAGCTGGAAGCCAGTGTGTTATTAACAGACTGAGAAAATATTTTGGCAAATTTCTTATGCCTTTTATTCAAAAAATTAAAAGTTTAATGAAGTGAAATATGAAAAAACTTTCTGATAGGTTTTTCTCCTGCTGCTTAACTTGTCTTTAGGCCACTCACCTTTGTACTATATTGTGTATTGTTGTCTTGGACACTCAGACGGCTTTTGCGTATGACACGCCGTCGCACTTAGTTTAATCACAGTGGTGTGTACAACATGTTGTATATTTCTTTTTGGATGATCCTTTCATCCAAGTTGATCCACATTACTTTGTTTTATACCATTAGGTTAGAAAATACCTCGGTACTGGAAATTTTAAAATCCCAATATTTATGATCTGAGTGCATGAATATTTTGCATTAGAAAAAGCTGATACATTTCAATTTTCGGCGGCATAATGTTATCTAAGAAATGTTAAAACATAGATTTGGCTTATGTTTTTCCATTGCGATTTTTTATCGGCTAGCGTTGTCACGTGATACGCCGATTTGCACATTCTCAATCTTTTTGATATATCATACTAATTTCTCTGGGAGATTTTACCGCCTCTGATATAACACACCCACGGTCTCATAGTGTGGAGAGACGCGAAGCACAGTGTCTCTGCTACACAGTCCGGCACGCTAACCACACCATGTTCGGCTCGTTCGAATGTGGGTCAAATATCTATATTTATGTTTCAGTTTGTCTGGTTTGTATTGTTTTCTGTGTGAGTCAAACAGATCTACAGTCATGGTTCTATAAATCACATCTGAGGAACTCTAATAACAGCTCACTTGACTATTTTAATTGAAGTTTAAATTGTCGTCGAAGCTCCTTAAGGCTTTCATACTTAATGATGAAGATTAATTTTAAAGTTATAAAACTGGTTTCGTGCACCCCATTTATTTTCGATAAAAATAATTAAATATTTTTTACGTTAAATAAAGTATCATAAATACTGGGAAATAAGATATGTTTCTGAATATGCATACGTGATATACAGTTGTGGAAATATATATTACATCACCCAATTTTTTTTCATACTTTCTTCGGAATCATCGTCTGTTTTGAGGCCCTGATGCATACAGGTGCGACGCCCAGTGGCACAGTGGTATGTCTGCGGACTTACAACGCTAGAAACCGGGTTTCGATACCCGTGGTGGGCAGAGCACAGATAGCCCTTGTGTAGCTTTGTGCATAATTAAAAAACAAACAAACAAACAAACAAGCATACAGGTGCAAATGTGTTTCATGGATGATGGAATATTGTCTAATTATTATATCAGAAGCTTAATAGGCTGCATGGATATTGCATTAGCCGTTTTTTGGCTATAAATAGAGGTTCTTACTGAGAGTCAATTTAGAAGCATATCTGCTACAATGTGTGTGTTTGTGATGGTATCATTGCCAAGGGTTGCAAGTTAACTCTGCGATAAAAAAAGCAGAAAATCTTTTTAGAGTAAAGAGGGACTCTCGACAAGGCAGACTGCTAGAAAAATTAAATTTAACCAATCTACAGCGAGCTGCTGGTTGCAGAGATATAGAGAGAGTGGCTGTGTGGAGCAGCGGAATGGTAGAAAGAAAGCTCCCACAGCAACTGACGATTGTGTTGTGAAATTTATGAGCCTGTACAATCGTCGGCTGTCGTCCAAAGATCTCAAAATAGTATGACAGGAAACTTCAGGGTTCACTGTTATCGCGCGCACCGTTCAGTTTCGCATGTGTTTAGCCAGTCACTCGACAATATGGCCAAGAAAGAAAACCACACACAACAAAATGAGAAAGATGAGGCTCAACTGAGACAAAGAGCATACTGGATGGACTGAAGAAACGTGGAGCAAGGTGATTTTTCTCAGACTAATCAAAGTTCAACCTGCACGGGTCTGATGGGAAGCACTTTGTACGATGTTGATGTGGAGAAGAGTTTCATCCAGCATGAGTGAATGCAACTTTGAAGCATCTGAAGGGTCAGGAGATATAGGAATGCATCAGTGGACAGAGTTTGGGATGCATGTATTTTGTGAAAGACACTATCAATGTCAACAAGTACAACGATATACTCGAGTCCCGGTTAAAACCAACAATTCGGGATAACTTCGGTGGAGCTGACCAGTACACATTCCAGGATGGCTTTACTTTATGCCACAAGGCTAAAGAGGTTAGTTATATTCATGCAATCGATGAAGTAGACGTAAAATAAAGAGGAAATTTCACTTTATGTGTATTGAAAAGACATCTTAGGTTATATTTCGTTGCTTCAGGTGAAGGACTATCTTCAAAGGAGAGGATCAAGACACTATGCTGGCCAGGGAATAGTTCAGATCTCAACGCTATCGGAAACTACTGGAAGTTAATGGGTAACAAAGAGAAGATACCAAGAAGCAGGAAGCCCTAACTTGCGTGTGGCATCATGAACTCATCTCTGCCTACATTCAGTCCCTAGTGCACTTTATGCAACAATGATTTCAAGCAGTTATCAAGGCCAGAGGGGGCACAACCAAATATTAAAAGAACAAACAGACTCTTTGACAAGTTTTTGTCAAGTACATCAGTGGTATTATCTTTAAATGTACGTTTTCTTACTCAGAGAACATTTTCGTATTTGCCGAGTATTTGTTGATCATCTGCTGTGATACGTTTGTCACGGTTGTTTTGTTAATAAAGATACACGCCTGCGTTTCGATGACTAGAATACGAGTCAGCATATTCCACGCAGTGTTTATAACCGTTTTACTCTAGTTCGAATATTTCTACAATGTACAATCTCGTAAAAAATTACGGGAACCAAGAAAAGTGCGAAAAAAGATTGGATGATGCAATAATTTTTCTACCACTTTATATGTATATGTACTAATAAGTTACATGCAGAAATTCACAGGAATAACGCGACACAAAACAATTTGTACATTTTGCCTTGAATGACAATTTACACATTTTTGTTCGGTTTTTAAACGTAGAGCAGTGAAGTCATTACTGAGTGCCCCCAACCTTTTATCCTATAGAGGAGGTGAAATTAAAAACATCCAAGGTCTAAAATCTTGATTTGTACGACCAATTAGGTGTTCTTGCCAAATTTTCATGTAACTCTGCGCATCCAATCCCATTCATCTCCCATTTATTGGCTCCAATAAGAACTTTCGAACAGCTAAATGTAGATTATTACTTTAAATGATCTTTTACATTTTAAGGTCAGTTTTCACGTAGACATTTGGACCCAAAAGCCTAAATTTACATTATTGTTTTTAATGACTTTATGGATGTAAATCTGTTCATTCAAGCCTGAGAGACAAAACATTCCCTTGATCCACAATTTTTAGATTTCTTCACGAATCTTTCGAAACATTCGTTTGTGCTCTGTAGGAGTCAAGAATTTACATGCAAACATTCACGCCTCTTTGTGAAAACATTTAGGAGTAGTTTAAATATCAAGCAAACATAGAAAAACAGATACATGTAAAGGCACAATTAACAATTACAACGTAAAAGGAATAGAAAACACACATGCTTTAAAAATTCAAACTATATGTTTAAAAAATGTATTTTTTCTTGCAAAGTCCATCATTGTAAAGTTTTAGAAATATTTCAATGTTCCTGAAAATATCCCAAAGAGATAATCATACAAAGTGTGCTTGTAATAAATATGTTTCTTGTTAATATACAGGCAAAAGCATTTACTTAAGGCTTATGATATGCGTTGTAACTATAGGCAAGGAATAATGTTTTATGGTAAACATATGCCTTCAGTGGGATTTTCTTCATATTTAACCCTTGCCAAATAAATAAAACAATGTAATTAGACGTTTTAGCTGGTACAAAAAGTTCATTATGCAAAGGTGCAAAACAAAATAAATGAACATTTCGTGTACTTTAACCAACACGTGTAGATTAACATGCCTTGTTAACAGTATGACTAAAAGTATCCCACTGGAATAATTAGTGTAAAGAAACATTTGCTTCCAGACATCTAATAACTATTAAGATGCATACACTTATCTTTTGTTCTTGTGTAAAGTCTCGTACGGTTTGACATTTATTTAGATATTACTGCATATAGCTC